TGGCCCAGGCAGCCTGTCTGGTTCCAGGAGCGTGCAGGTCTCCAGTCTAACTTCCCCTCGGGCCTTCTTTTTTCTAGATCCACTTCCCGGACGTGGAGCGGGTCGAGTGGGCCAACAAGGTAAGGCCAGGGCACCGTGCGTGGGACTGACCTCACTCTAGGGCCGCCCCTGCCCTCTGCTGAGTCACCTGCAGGGATGGGGCGGAGGGCGGGCAGCATGTGGGCCCAGGCCCTGCCTGCCCCAGGGGTGGTGGCCTTCTCCTGTCTCTCCCCTTAGCCCTTCCCTCCCTCCCGGTTCTTCTCATCACCAACGACTTGCTTTTCTTTGAAAAACCATGCTTTTCCCTGTGTCAGTAATGCATGGGTGCAGCAGGAAAGTTAGGAAATACAGAGTAGACAGAAAAGTGCAGCCTCCAGCGGCCCCGGCCCAGAGAAGCTTCCCCGGAGAGAAGGGGGCTGATTGCACAGCTGCCTCTGGCTTTGGCCGGGTTCCCAGCCCAGATCCGCCAGCACTGGCCGGGCAAGCTGGGGCAGGTTGCCTAACGCCTCAGAGCTGGCTCCCTCCTCTGTGCAGTGCAGTGATTATGGTCCCTGCCCATGCGCTTGGTGCGAGGATTAGTGAGGCGATTAATGCACCACAGTGCCTGGCTCATCGTGGGTGCCGGTGCCGGGATGCTGTCATCACAGGTGTGACGGCTGCAGGGTCGCAGGGAGCGCCTGTGGGCTCGGCTGCAGGTGCCCAGGGTGGGCTCTGAGGCTCCAGGTCTCGCCCCTCCCCTTACAGTGAGAAATCGGACTCTGTTCCTCCCTGACCTGCCCAAAGCTGTCCCTATATGTGAAGGCGCGTGCAGTCCCCTTTGAGACTTTAACACAAACCTCGCCTCTGTTCTGGACAGGAATGACTTAGGTTAAATATAAAAAAGGATTTCCTGATTGTGTTTTTTGTTAATCCTCACCTGAGGATGTTTTTCCCTTGATTTTTAGGGAGAGTGGAAGAGAGAGGGGAAGACAAAAAGAAACATCAATGTGAGAAAAACACATTGATTGGTTGCCTCCTGCACACGCCCTGACCAGGCCTGGGAGGAGCCTGCAACCTAGGTACATACCCTTGACTGGAATCGAACCAGAAACCCTTTGGTTCAGGCTGGCGCTCTATCCACTGAGCCAAACCACGTAGGGCCCGATTGTTTTTGATCTAAGGCTGGCATTCTCATATTACCCCAATGTCTTTGCCGAGTTCTCTGCCTGGCCGGCATGGCTCAGTGGTTGAGCGTTGACCTATGAACCAGGAGGCCACTGTTCGATTCCCGGTCAGGGCACATGCCCGGGTTGCAGGCTCAATCCCCAGTGTGGGGCGTGCAGGAGGCAGCCAATCAATGATTCTCTCTCATCACTGATGTTTCTCTCTCTCTCTCTCCCTCTCCCTTCCTCTCTGAAATCAATAAAAATATATATATTTTAAAAAAACCTGTTCTCAGCCTCTTGGTAAAATTTGGAGGAAGTAGTTTGCTGCTTTAGGAGGAGGGAACAGATTTCTGCGGATTAATTTCTGTAAATTAATTAATTTCTGTGGGCCCAGGGCCTCTGGGGCAAACCGTGTCCTGTGCCCCCCCGGTAGTGTGTCTGTGTGTGCTTGTGAGTCCACAGGCCCCGCATGCACGCTATCTTCTTGCATCAACACAGACCAGAGGAGTAAGGCTCCCGGATGGGAAACAGTTACGTAGACGAACCACACTCTAGGGCACCAAGTACGTCCCAAAGAGCTTAGTGCTCCAGAGGCACTTGGCAAAGGACAAAACGGTGAGACGGGAGGATGGGACCAGCCCCTAGAGAGGCCCCTGAGAGAGGGGGGGACGAGCCTCCCGCCTCCAGGCTGGGGAGGCGAATCTGTAAACGGAGGCCCCAGCCTGAGAGAAGGAAGAGGAAGACGCCTTTGCCCGCGGAGCCTACGGCTGCCTGGCCCTCCCTCCGCTGCTCCTCTCTGATCACCCTCTCTGGGCACCAGGCCCCTCTCTGCTGCCTTCCCCTCCCCGGCCCTGCACGGGGTGCCCAGACCAGCCGTGGGTCATTCTGCATAGAAATCTGCCGGAGAAGGCAGCCTGTTCTGATGGCTAGACAAAGCCTAAATCCACAGGAAACAATTTGTTTCTCTTCTGTGATTTTTTTTCCTTAAACTTCTAGCCAGCTGCTACTCACTTATCCCACAGCGAGGATTCAGATAATTTATGTGTTAGCACAGGACCAAAGGGCTTCACATCATTGGGTGTAGCGCATGACTGTCTGTCTCATGGGGTTCTGCAAACAGCACCAGATCGTGGGGGCCTGCTGCCGACACAAGAGTGAGAACCACTGCTGTCGTTACCTGCTGTGCGGCGGACAGACGGCGGCTGTGTGGGCAGATGGGCAGGCAGGCAGATGGGCAGTGCAGAGTAAGGATCCCGTGGCCCTTATATGCATATATTTAAAATAGAATTTTAAAATATAAAATTTTGTTAAATTTTGGAAGTGAAACTTCAAGTTAGGTTTTTAGTGCGGGCTGGGATTAGACCAGAGAGGGCCAGCTCCAGGGCCTGAAAGCATCATTCAGGCAGCCGAGGGTCTGGGGTGGGGGACACAGACCTGACCACCGAGGGCCTCTTCCTGTCCCCACAGATCATCTCCCAGATCTGGCCCTACCTGAGCTTAATTATGGAAAGCAAGGTCCGGGAGAAACTCGAGCCCAAGATCCGGGAGAAGAGCGTCCACCTGAGGACCTTCACCTTCACCAAGCTCGACTTCGGACGGAAGGTCAGTGCTGTCTCGGGAAGGGCGGCCTGGGCCTTTTCTCTGTCCCTCGCCCCCGCCCCGTCACGGCTGGCGGAAAGGTTCCCACTGGGCTTCACCGGGGGCCCGGCCCCCACCGGCACTGCCCAGCCCCTGGGCCTCCGTCTAGACCCCTGGCCCTGGGTCCCAGCACCAGATATGCAGATCTGTGGAAGCCCCGCTCGGAACAGAGCTGGGGTGGGAAACAATTCCAGATTTCTTTTTTTTTTTTTTAATATATTTTATTGATTTTTTACAGAGAGGAGGGGAGAGAGATGGAGAGTTAGAAACATCAATGAGAGAGAAACATCGATCAGCTGCCTCCTGCACACCTCCTACTGGGGATGTGCCCACAACCCAGGTACATGCCCTTGACCGGAATCGAACCTGGGACCTTTCAGTCCGCAGGCCGACACTCTATCCACTGAGCCAAACCGGTTTCGGCAAATTCCAGATTTCTTAAGCCAACGTTTGAAAGGATGTCATGCAGGGTGGAAGCCAGCCAGATACAAGATGTCCAAGTCACACTGGCTACCCCCGGGCACCACCTGGGGAGAACACGCCCTCTGGGAGTGGATAGCGCCTCAGAGCAGGGCGTGATGCTGTACCAGTCCATTGATTCTGGCGGTCGGTGTCCAGAGCCCAGACTCGGGGTGAAAGAAGCTTCTGTTTAACATACCTAACACCATATCCCTATTCTCGACTGCGCTTCCGATGCCACCTCCTGCCCCACCCCTCTTGCCCCAAAGGGCCTCCTGGATGTGAGTCTTATTTTGGTCATCTGAAAACGCATCCCCAGGCAGAGGACCGTGGGGTGTCATCACCCAGTAAACCCGAGGCCTGGGCCTCTAATCTGCTCTGGAATAAGCAGGTGTCTGAGTGAGGCCAGTCTGCTGAGAGCTGTCTGCCAGCCCCAGGGCAAGGACCCAGCTCGGATGCCCCCCGCCCCGCCCCGAGTGGGGGCTGGATCAGGCTTGCCTGAGCCCTGGAGATTCTGGCTCATGCCACTCAGACTCTGCCAGGCCTGGCTCGTCCCAGAATCTGCTGGTTCATTTGTTCATTCCGTGTTCACTCACGTATGACATGGAGCATGGCTGTGTGCGAGGCACCCACCGTAGACAGAGGTGGGTGTGGGTGTGTCCCTGCCTCCAGGAAGGTCCCATATACAGGTGGGTGACAGCATGGCAGTGTACGCACCGTGGTGGAGGAATGCGTGAATTCAGGAGTGGGGGACGTGGTAGTCAGGGAAGGCTTCCCGGAGGGGTGATAGCTGAGTTGGCATTTGAAGAATTCAGCAGGCGGAGAGAACCTGCTCAGCCAGGCGGGTAGTCTGGTGGTGCCTGTGGGACGTGGCACTGCTGGAGAGCGCCCCCTGCTGGCAGCAGGAGCAGGCCTAGAGGTGGCTGATCCCGAGGATGCTTTTTATCACCTCAGGGGAACCTGGCCAGGGACCTGCAGGAGAAGTACCTGACTCCTGGTATTCCAAGCCCTTCCCTTCCCGTCTCCTCCCCGACCTAGCTTCTTCCCCCCCACCCCCCGACTCCTCTCCATTTGGGGTCTCACAGAGGACTGGTCAGTGACCCTCATGGGCTCGGCCAGGACCAGTGCACTCACCACAGCCCTTCCTCATGCCCCTGAGTGTTTACAGCTCCTCTGATTCCTGGGTCCTGGCCCAACTCCGCTCTGTGCTGTGAGGACCTTGGGCCAGTGACGTAACCTCTCTGAGCTTGTTTCCTCATCTGTAAGGAAAGGGTGGTTGTGAGTGAGACTGACGGGCCTGGCCTCCGCACTCTGCCTGGCTGTGTGCGTGGTGGTGCTTAGGCACCTGGAGAGGACGCCCGGGGGGCCAAACCCAGCCTTAGCCCTCACCCACTGTGAGCCCTGGGCTAGGACCGCCCTGTAGCTCAGAGCAGATGCTCATAGGATGGCTCCTTCCTCTCTGTGGTGGGGCTCAGGAGGGCAGCCGTCCCCAGGACTCGCTCCGCAGACGGGTTCTGGGGCTGCTGAGCTTTCACAGGTGCCCGCACACCGACCCGCTGGGAGCAGCAGGCTCCAGGCTGTGGGAAGTCAG